CACAAGTTTGAATATGTAAATGGTAACATTACACCAGTGACTTAATGCACTCTGATAATGACTAGTCCAAGTCTCTTTGTTTCTGAAAACTGTTGAACTGGATTTGTATACTTGACTTCAGAATATCCTTTTGTCGTGCGTGCGTGTGTGTGTAAATGTGTGCTTTCTGTATAGGCAACATTAGAATGCAGTTACATAGAGGGCCACTGCCAGGTCGTGTCATTCTTGCCACATTAAGGCACCATTTAGGTCACCATTTTGTTTGCAGTGTGTCATAGACTTCCCCACTCACAGCAGTGTGACATCTGCTGTTGCATTGTGCTATATCGTGTAGTAGTGATTATGGTAGTCTGCACATATGCTGTAAGGGAGCAGTGGAGAATCAAAGCCCTTGCCTTGTGTCACAGAGGAACACAAACACAATGTTCCCCTTGTGGTGATCTGTAGACTTTACCGCAGGTTCTGTGATCAAAACAGGCCTTTAACATTGTAAATCAGTGCATTGTTTCATTCCTGACAAAAGACTAATTTGCACATATAGACCTTTCAGGTTAATATGGAGTTATGAAAAGCTTCATTGTAAATGTACAGTCACTTAATTCAAGACCTGTCTGATTGTCATAGAAACTCGTAACGTGTCCCCACTGAGATGAGGTTTTCTTTGCTGCTTGTGTTTAAACTGACTACTGACGTTGACATTATGCAATGTTGCAATGTTGTTTGATTTTTTTTATTTTTTTTTAGAGCCAGGTATCATAAGGTGTTGAGAACACTACTTTGATTTGACTCGTCTTTGAAGTGAAATCTTACTGCACTTTTTAAGAACATGTTTTAGAATTAGAGTGACAATGTAAGTCTTAGAAACATGGTTAAAAAATATATATCTTTATCTCCAGAACATTTGGAGTACTGTGTCTTAGAGTAGACTTGAATTGTTCACGTGTGTCCAAAAAAGGGGGAGCACTCTTGTGAAAACTAGTGAACCTTTCTAACCCACATAATGAGCCAAATAATAATAATACTAAGAGACAGAGTTGGATTAAATATCACAGGAGATCTTGACTGGAACACACTCTTCTGTGGGTTTGGGAATGACAAAGACAGGTTGCATTTCAAGTCAAAATCCCTCAAAATGAAAAAAGTAATCATGTACCAACCCTCTGTGTTGCTGCCTATTTATTATTTCGAAACAGGAATGTACTGCTCTCATTACCAACCACACAGCCTCGTAAGGAGAGCACTTTTCGAGTAAAGACTCAATAGGTATTTATTTTTAACTGGAACAAGTGATTAATTTAATTGATCAGTTACTGTAGACGTTCCTTTGTATTTATTCACCTTACATATTAAAGTCCACCTTTGTTTCCCATTTAAAGTTTAAAGTCCCATTTTAACATTCCCTGGAAATGGACCAAGTAATGCAACAAATGTCTTTGCATGTCAGGGGTCTGCATTTGAGGATGGAGGCCATGGGGGAGGGGGGAGGGGGTGTATGTTCTGTCACAGCTCTGTGCAGCAGACCCGATCAGTCCAGAGCTGGCACTCCATTCACACTGTACAGAGATCTAGCATGTCTCTCCAAATGATTAATAAAGATGTCTTATTACCAAAGTCATGCAGAATTCTCTTCTTTTTTTCTTACTTACTACTTTTCTTACAACACTGTACACATCTGAGGTAATCTATGTTTCACACTCTGTGTCCACCTATTGTGTTCTTTCTCACTGATAGTACTTTGAGTAAACCCCAATGGATATATTAGTAAAATCCCACACCATCCAAACAGGATTTTTAAAAATGGTGTGATGCTAATCTTTAGGACATTTATTGTCACTATAACCAGAATGCTACCAGCTGCAATAGGCTGACTGCACAGTGTTACACCAACCACCAACCACATGCTGCCAGCAGGATACATGGCTGACATTGATTTTTTTGTAGCTCTATATTGAGACAGCCACCACTGATTGTTCAGTTAGTAACATGAGTTTCCAAGTCCCTCCTTTCTGCAGTAAACACAGAATACATTTCTGGTACCTTGTTCCCACTTTATCCAATCAGGCGAGAGAACTCCAAAAAGAGGTGGTCCTCAAGAATGGTAAGGCTGGTTTCACTTACAGCAACTTTAAAGTAAGGGATAAATGGTTGAAATAGTTAACTAAAAGTAATGGGTGGTGTTCGTAGTATGAATACCATTGTTCCAAACCAACCTAAATGTTGACAACTCAGTCCTATGAAAGAATGATTATGAGAATATCCACATTTTATGGTGTTATTCTGCATCTGTTACAATGAACACATCTTGAACATGGGTGGGTTTGATGGAGGGATACCTGAGCTCATCTGATTGGAATGTGGTGGTACATTAGACCAAAAAGGTTGGGAACTAATGGTGTAGTTACCAGTAATGAAGCAATAATTGTGTCAGCATTAAGTATTTGTACATGTTGGGGCATGGTTTCCAGTTTGACACAACAACAAATCCCCTGTTTCTGTTGTTGACTACAAATAATACCTGTCATTGGAATTACCTGCTGTATTGACCTGGGCTGGATTAACCTACAAAGGGACCTTTAGGCAAAAGTGAGCCATTGGCCCCAATAGACCTGTTTCACAGCAGCCTTTTGACATGAAATAGTAGGTTAAACACAGATGTTACCAACTATACTAATTAATATTCTGTTCCATTCGGGTCCAACAGAGTCAGAGTGCTGATATTGTGCATGCTGGCTCAGTGGAAAGACTCTGCTGCACTAAATGGAACCTTATTTAGTATAATTAGTAACACCTGTGTTTACCCTACTATTTCAAGTCAAAATTGCTGCCATGGAAAAGGTCTATTAAGTAAGTGTTATATCAAATAAAATATTAAAGGCTTAAAACTCGATGTGGATGCTGGCCCCACCTACGAGTCAGGACATTAAGATCAGGTAAAAAGTCAACGTTTAAAAAGTAAATAGACACATTCTTTGTCTAACAAATCAAAAGTCAAATTATTCTTAGTGCACTGTTGCTTCATTTGATCATTTGCTGCTACGGTGTTATTTGGTCTGGTATGACCAGTAGCTCATGGTGGCTAATGTAAGCTTGTGTTAGCTAAGGTTAGGTAGATATTGCTGCGTGAGGAACTGAGTCAGTTTGCTGATTCTCCACTCTTCTGTGCTTGGTTATAGTATAGAATATATATAACAAATATAGTCATAGCAATTACCATTATCAGGTATTTGCCACGTGTTACCACAGTGACCCCTATTAGCTAAAGTTATATAGTTTCACTTTAAGGTCCTTACCAACAAATTGTGCTTTCGTGGGGAATTTGATCTCACATTTTTAATTAATCAAATATTGCAAATCAACTGTCACAAAGTGAACCTGCTGACTGCAGCACTTCATCAAATCTCCGACCTGTCCACATCAATCCTAGTTCGGCTCCTGATTTGCTATTTTCCCAAACTACATTAACCCTGAAGGTATGTTTTTGTTTATTCCGAGCACTCCGAACACTCACAGAGTGGGATACACATGCTCAATAAGGAATGTACTATTGCTCGCTGTGATGGGTAGCAGTGTGGAAACCATCTTGCACCATGTTTTTATTGCATGGACTTCCCACTAGAATTCCTTCCATAAAGTGTGTGTGTATGCTGTGGCCCCTGATCTGATGACTGTGTCATTAGTCAGTCTGACCAGACAAACCTGCGGTGGTGCAATGTAACTCAAGCACTGTAATTACAATGTTGAGGTACTTGTACTTTATGTATTCTTTTTTATGCTACACTATACTTTACACACTGACAACACTTTCTATCTGACAGCTGTAGTTACTTTGCAGATTAATGTTTTATATACAAAATATGACAGTTACAGGGGCCATTTTGCTGCTTAATTAATAGAGTGCTTTTACTTTTAACACATTTCTCTGTTAATACTTTTGTTCTTTTATTCAGGTAAACTTTTGAATGCAGGACTCTTATATAGTATTTTGGCATTGTAGTATTGCAACTTTTACTTCAGTAAATGATCTAAGTTCTACTTCCACAAACTGCCAACCTGCACTGCGAGTCGTTTCCTGTTCTGTTCCACCCTAATCCCAGTGATCAGCACTACCAGCACGGCACTGGGAGCCAGTAAATACATTGCGAAACTGAAACTGGTACTCTGCCATTTTCACAATCCTGCTCTGTTTGTTTGTTCCCTGCAGGGTTGCTGCCTTCCTGCTGTAGTCCAGACTGCAGCTGTGACAGCCAACACTGCTGATGCCAGTTCGTTTAGAGCTTGGATGCGGCTCCGTGTTTGGCATCGTGGAGGAGGTGATGTCACTGATAATACTTAACCGTGGGAACTCATAAATGTTACTGAAAGGCCAACTGACACACCGTCTATCAAAATATGACCAAGTGTGTCTCACAGGCATACAGTTGAGACAGCCTGTTACAACTAGCTGGCTACCAAACCAGTGTGACAACTAACGGATATCTTGCTTCATCCAGCGTGTCTCCAAACAGATAAAACAACAGTGACCTTAATATGACTGGGATGCCAGACATTATAATACTTAACAGTGACCTTGAGCTGAGATTTAATTCTCTTTTGGTCTCAGAATGGTCTGCGCTGTATATTTCTGAGCTGATATCTGCACATACGGTAACACAAAAGAATAAAATAATGATCCAGTAATATCTTCAAACATGGAAAACTTGCCAGATGCTCGTTGAATGGAGTTTATAATCTGCTTTCATGGTTGAACGAGTCTTTTGTGGCATGTTTTTGTTGTGCATCAAGCCCACAAAAAGTAATATTCACATTATGCTGTTCCAAAATCTCCTACTGACTTCACTTACTCTCAGTCACTTAAATACTTAATGTGTCATATAAATGATGTACACAGTGAAGAAGAAGACTGTCACATTTTTTGCTTTGAGCTCATGATTCTTTCAGATGACAGAGCCAAGTGGGACCATCAGCATTAATTAGTAAATGAAAACACAGATACAAAAACATTCTTTCAAAAATAGTTTTATTAAATACTTTGTCAGCTAGCTATCATAAATAAAAAGAACAAAAAGTTATGTTTAATGTTCAGCAGTGGCTGAAAGGGAACGTCCTCAGGAGACCATCTGTTACGAGGGGGGTCTTTGGGTGTGAGTCCCACTGGGACAGCTGAACCAAATCCCACAGCACCAGCTGGGAGAATTAAGCCTAGAATAAATAAAGGGGAGACAGGGCACCTTTGGCTGGGGACAAAACAATGTCTTGACAGGAACACAAATGGATTCTCAGTCCTAACGGCCTCAACTTTCTCTCCACTGACGAGGTTGAGTCGAGTCTTCTAGCGGCGTCTACCAAATAATATCCTGAGAGGAGCTGTCACATCTTCCTTCGTCTGCCTCCTTTTAAACAGACTCTTCAGTCGAAAGCCGGCGCCACGATTTCATTTCCCTTTAAAAAAACAAAAAACAAATATTAGTCCACACTTTCACTAAATTTCTCCTTGTTATTATAGCCATTTAAGTCAGAACTTACACATTACTGCCGGGCACGATCCTTTCCTGGTTCTGCTTTGTCAGACTGAACCTTCTGAAGAACGCAGGCAGTTTGAGCTTGGCTCTGGCAGACCTGGAGGAAACGCTGGAAAGTAAAAGTTCCTGTGTTAGACAGTATTTCATGTGGCACTGCCGAGCTGAGGTGCTAATGAGAGTCTTTGTGGACAAACGTACTGATTTACATCGATGTGTGAATGGGTCGGTATGGCTGGAATTTTTTAGGATCCAGGTTCCAATTCTTCAAATTCAACACCAGTTTTAAAGAGATGCTACTCTCTATTTGTCTGTTTTTTTAACATTTTCTGTCCACAGCAATAGCATACAGTAAAGCTCTTAATATTGCGGCCACTTACAAGAAAACTGAAAATCAAGAGGTCAAAGGTCACACAGTTTTCTGTTTGTAGATGTCATCTGCTTATGTAAACAGTCCTGAAAATCCCCACACACCAGAAAACTGAACCTATAATTGCAGAGAACCAGTTTAGATTTTGCCCATGTACGTGTCTGCTGAACCCACCATTCTGTTGGTTGTTTAGTCTCCATCCTCTCCACCTCAGCTTCTCCTTTCAGTCCATCTTCCTCCTCCTCCTCGGCCTCCTCCTCCTCTGGTATCTGGTCCCACAGCCTGCTGTTGACCCACAGAGCCTCCTGCAGGCTGAGGCCGCGTCCTATGCAGGTCACCCGACGACACAAAGGGCAGCCCACGGTGAGCAGCCCGCTCCTGGCCTCCGACATAGTCTCCAGGCACAGGTCGCAGAAGGTGTGCCTGCAGTGGAGTACCCGGGGGATCCTGTCCATCCGGGAGTAGGGCGAGAGGCAGACACTGCACTCGTCGTCCTCACACAGAACCATGGTCAGGCTGAAGTGGTGGACCACAGAAAGTACCGGGTTGACTGCAAGGATCAAAAGGAGTCAAAATTGAATTTGTGGATTATTAGATAGTGCTGCTGGATATCAATTATACACCCTATCACAGCAGTAATATTTGAAGAGGTTTTTTTTGTTTTTCTAGCAGATTTGAACTAAAAATCCATTACTTATCTTATTTATTTACATTTTCAGAGAGTTCTCTCAGATGACACTTGTGTTATTGTTATTTCTGCCAAATCAAGTCAGAATTATATTTTGAGAGATTGTACAATACAGAGAGCAACTGGAGTTGAAAAGCACTATAATGAACATCCATAAACACAAACCATACTACTAAATATATATATATATATTTAAATGAAGGAAAAAGTTTAGAATAATAAAAATAATGTATGTCTGTAAAGCGTACTTACAGTAAACTTGAAGCCTATGTAATAACGTTATTCCCAGAACAGACGGTGCTCCTTCAGACCTATTTAAGAGTATTGTCCCTTTTGGAGTGTACAGCACAGCCACAGTGCAGTGAATGGAGAGGGAGAGCTCGTCTGCCGCCTGTTCAGGAGTGTCTGGTGTATTTGTGGGGGCGGGACAGAAACGTCGCTCTCTCTTCTCACAGACCAAACCCTCACAACGCAACAGCTGGGGAAGCGGGGCGGTGGAGACGCTCTTTGTTCAGTGTTTGACGGAGAGCAGGTGGAGGGACGGGTATGGAGGGTATAGGCAAACAGTGATGATAAACCTAGCTTGGGTCGACCAAGGGAGCAGGATCGTGAACAACTTCGTTATACATGTTAAAATTAACTTAGAAATTGACAAACATGTTCTGTGAAAAGATTGGGCTCGTCCGGGATTTGAACCCGGGACCTCTCGCACCCAAAGCGAGAATCATACCCCTAGACCAACGAGCCACACTTTCCCACTGGTATGTGTGCATTTTAATATCTGACCAGTTGTCATTTCAATCATGATGTTAATTTACCTTGTTTTACTCCCCTAAGGTCTTCTCCACTCAAAAACTCACAACACTCGTAAGTTTCTCTTAGCACAGCCGTTCATATGTTGGAGCTACCTGCTAGCTAACGCTAACGTTAGGATAAAACCAGGAGGGTAAGCTATATGTTTTTGAAACAGCAAAATCCAGTCTCTTAAGTCAGTCATGCAGCAACAGACAACAACCTCCACTACAATAATGTACGTTACGTTAGTTAATTAGCGTTCTCGATAATGTTATTTGAAGTCAAATGACAAGCGGGCTGCTGCACATCTTCTCCAGTCGGCTGCAGCTTAGCGTTAGCATATAACGTTAGCTAGCTGTTGTGAAAGTGACGGCCCAAAAAAAAGAGGGCTCGTCCGGGATTTGAACCCGGGACCTCTCGCACCCGAAGCGAGAATCATACCCCTAGACCAACGAGCCACGTGTTCCAGAAGCGCGGAACAACTTCACTTAATAAATACAACTCTGCTCTGCTTGGGTGTACTGTTCATAATGTTTTATATAATAATAATAATAATAATAATAGAGAATAATAATCGTTGCAATCCCAGTGTCAATTTTGCCCCAGACTATCGTGGTTGTAGTAAAAAGCTTTGTTGTGTGGAATGTAGACAGGGCTGTACTCTGGTATCTTGTACTGTAACACGCTTGGTTTAATATTCTAATTTAGTTTTCATTACAAAAGACTTTATCTAAATTCTATATAAGATGACAAACATATCTGGATGTATGGCCTCACCTGACCCAGCACTCTGGACGTACAGCGTGCTGAGGTCACAGGTTGGAGGCGGAGTTACCGCCTCTCATCAGGAAGTCCATTGTGCCTAATGCAGCTGTCTGTGTAGTTCAGTTAACGATGTAAACAAACGTTGCTAGGCGCTCTGAAACCAGCTAACCATGTTAAAAGCGTTAGTAATTTGCCTTATCCGTAATACAAACCAAATTAATATAATTTAAGTTTAATTTCAACTCGTGAATTTAACGGGCGCCGTTGTTGTGGTCAGGTAGTAACGTCAATGCTGTCAGAGGTTGCTAGGTTAGTGGGGAGCTAAAAGTAGCTAGTAACGTTAGATAGCTTAACTTGAGGCGAGCTAAAAGTGTCCACGGAACCAGTAGGCTGTTAGATATTTACAAGACTTCATATACTGACAGTATGACTTCCAAACAGATGGCGGCGTCTCTGGGATCTCTACAGAATCCTGATCTAAGGTAAATGTGGCTAAAGCCAGTGATTAGCTAACTAACTTGAGCTAATGTTTTTAATATCACAAGCAACCAGTGATGGTGAGCTCATGCAGAGATGGCAATCTCGTGGTTATGTGGTATTTTAACGGATTTAACAAACATCACTATGTTTTGATATTTTGTAATATGTGTATTCCAGCTCTGTCCTGTCATCATGTGAGCCAGAGCTTCAGGAGCTGATGAGGCAGATTGATATTATGATCAACCATCAGAAGAGGGAGTGGGAGGCTGAGATGCAGGCCATGGAGCTCAGGCTGAAAAGTGGGGAAGAGGAACTGTTGACTTCCAGGAATCTCATTGAACGGAGGGACCTGGAGGTGCAGTAGCAGATCCTTTTTAAACTTTTAATGAACCAGTGAGGGGTCTCTGTTTCTTTGTTGAGGAGAACTTAGAGAGCTAATATTTTTTGTTGTATGAGTAACAGAGAGAGAGAGATGGAAAACATTTGCAGTCATTCACCATCATTCTTTTCTTGTAATATAATTTTGTGTTGTATTACAGCATGATGACCACACACACTCTGCATGGCACTTATGTTTCTAAATTATCACATTGATGTTTACCAACATTTTTACAATACCTTTACTGTCATCACCCCTGATTGTAGATTGGATTGCTTCACAAGCAGCTGGAAGAAGTCCAGCCTGGTCGGCAAGAGTTAGTTACCAAGTATGAGCAGCAACTGCACAAAGTCCGGGAAGAGGTGAGACAAACAGCCTTTCAATTCAAGTTCCTCAACATATCTTGAAAATCCCAGGATGAATTGGTAGTTTACAGATTTGCAGAGCCAAGGTTTACTTTGATAATTGAATCCTTATCAACCAGTTTAACCTACTAACAAAACCATCTCAGAGCTTATTCAACTTACTGAACATGATGATGATGATGATGATGATTAAAAGTTATTTATCACGAACACTTTTTTCCTGCAGTTAGATAAATTAAAGAGAAGTTACCACAAGCTTCAGCGCAAACAGCTCAAGGAGATCCCTGGAGGAGTGAATACTAAAGACATAGACCGTTCAGAGGTGACCCGACTCAATGGGAAGATTGAGGTACAACAACATTAGTACAATTCCTTTTATATTCTTGTTCACTAGTCACCTACAGCTTGCCTTATACTGCCATCTACTGGTTATGTGGAGTACAATCGTCCTTGTCTCTCCTGCAGGAATATCACCAGCGTTCTGTAGAGTGGGGGCAGCAACGCAGCCAATACCAAAAACAACTGACAGCGCTGGAGGCCCAAAATAAGAGCCTGACTGATGAGCTCACACACATGAAAGTAAGTGCAGATTAATAACCTTATCATGACAGCGCAGCAATGTCAATTCAGACAGTTTAATGCTGAAACTAAGTGGAGGTTATTTTTTCACACATATTCTCTTGTCATTTGATTTGCAGACCCAGTGGGAATTGTTGCAGAAGGAGAAGGAGCACAGGGAGTGCTGCTTAAAGGTGCAACATCTGTGCACTCAGCTGGAGAAGGCTCAGGGCAGCCTGCACTCACAGGAGCTTGAACTGGAACGCCTCAGACCCCTCGAGATGTGGTTGGGACAGTACCAGAGAGAGCAGCAGGTTAGCAGAAGGGTAGGACTGTATACAAGCTGGGGCAGATTAAAGACTGGACAAACCAGACGTAAAGACAGTTTCAACAATTTACACACATTCTTTTAGTCTTTAGACAGTCAGGAAGGAGTAATATCTGATGATGGAGTTAATACACTAGACAACACACTGAAGCACTGGTCAGTAATGACTGGAGTCTGATAGACAACTCAACAAATCCAGCTGGAACACCAAAAAACAACTGACAGCTTACACACTTTATATGCCGTAACATTGAGCTGAAAGACCAAAAAAAGTGGTAAGCCTTCGATTTAATTTTGTAGAGCTATTCATTCTATTACCACAGTTCAGTCAGTTTTTCCTCTATTTAAGTTTAAGTCTAGTTCACCCTCACACCACAAACCTCCATGTCTGTTGCAAATATCAAACACGTCTTAATTAGAGTGACTGACAGCGACTCAAGATCCAAATCTTTACATATTACACACTACATGATTTCATCTGCCAAAACCAGCAGACCCAGACTAGAGCAGAACCGGTCCGACGTGGTCCCATCAGTCGCCACACCCAAATAATATTAATAATTGGCTCAGCAGTTGTAATGTGTGTCCCCCACTTTGAGGTGATCATGATCATGATATGACTGTGCATTTTGTGAGGCACCTATCATCACAGAAAAAGCAAGATAGAGAAGCTATTGAAGTGAAACAATATTGTAATATTTTCTGAGATGTTTTTTTCCCTTTTTTGTAACTTGTGTTATCCATCAGCTTCTTTTAGTCCAACAGACAGTCAGGCACAAATCAAATTGAAGCTCTCTGAAAACAGTAATAATCACAGTACCGACAGTAAAAAAAACTGCATTGTACCATCAGAATGTTTTACTGTCTTATATAGTAAAACTGGTACGCCAACATATCTCTGAACTGAACATTATATTACATCAGAGGAGTTTTCAGTTCATTGTAGCTTTGTGATCCAGATGCAGGCCGATAAAGTCACACAATAATCTTGAAAATAACAGCCTCCCAACTCTTTGAAATTAGTTAATCTGTCAAACAAATGTAATTCCATTGTGAGGAAGAAACAGTGACCATGAAAATCCATTTCTATTGTTGTGGTTTGAAAATCTGTATGTAATTCTCCAAACTATTCCAGTCATTCCACCCTGTGAGTCCTGCTGTTGATGGAGCAGGCAGATATATGTTAGATAGATAAGGTCAAATTACAGGACTGACTGAGGGTGGCCCCTATAGCACCATCGGATATGAGACAATCCTGATTTGCATTAATCAATCCACCAACTTTAAATAATTTTAACAAAATCATGACAGTCTGGCCTCTGCTCACATTTACAGCCTAGGTCTGCCTGTGTGTTAATCTGCCCCAGTATACAAGCAACAGATGCAAACAGTAGAGCTTTAAATCAATATGGATGGAAATAGGATATTATGTCAAACAGTTGATTTGTACTGTAGTGTTTGACGTTAGAATATCGCTTCATCAGCTGAGGATGAACTGCTGCTCCACAGGTGCTTACGGAGGAAAGGCAGGAACTACACGCAACCCTGAACTCCCAGGATACATTTGTGCGGAGAGCCAGTCTCGAACGCCAAAGGCTTCGTAATGAAGCTGCCAGACTTAACCAAGTACTGGAAGCTAAAGATCAAGTCATTCGGTGGGTGGATTTCTACCTGTAAATAATGTGTTTTCAGTCATTGCGTTATGATGCAGTACAGCAACAGTACACAAGAGGGCGCTCTATACTGATACTGTAGGCAGGATGCACTGATGAGCAGTTGTAATACAACAAGTTCAGTGCTTGTGTGTTGTGTGGAAAGAGTTTTTATGGAGGTCTGTTAAGCACTATATTGTCTCTTATTTTCTCAGCTCTCTGGAGGAGTGTCTGGTGGCTCAGGGTTGTGCTGGTGTGGAAACCCTCAGACAAGATCTGGAGAAGACTGCAGCCAAACTTCACTGCGCCCAAGCATGTGAGGTTCATCTCAAGACAGAACTGGCATGTCTCAAAGAGAGGTGAATGCTGGTCCTCATCTTTATTATTTTGCACATATAAGCTTGACACGTGTGCGTCTTGAATTTGGATACCAACATGATGTTGATGTTTTTATGATTTGCTCAGACTGGAGAGGGTGAGCCGACAGAGAGCTGACCAATCAAAGATGGAGGAACTGAGGAGCATTAAAGCAGAATACAATTCCTCTGTTGTGGAAGTAAAAAAGGTCAGAAAGCGTCTCTGTCTGGTTATGTTGCAGGAGCTTTGAGTTTTCAACGTGCATACTCTATTTGTGTATTAACATCTGTATTGTGACTTCTCTGGGTTCATTGTACAGCTCAGAGAGGAGCTCCAAAGGGCGAAGCAGACTCACAGCGGTGAGGTGGAGGGAATGAGGAAGGAGGTGTCAAAGCTGACCACCGAGCTGCACCAACGTGACGTCACCATCTCCACGCTGAGTGGCTCTTCATCCAGCGTCAAACAGCAGCTCTGCAGTGAGGTGGAGCGAGCACAACAGAAGGCAGCTGAGCTTAAAGTAAGCACATAAACAGTCGCAGCCCTGTGACGTTATATTTTCATTGCAATTACATATTTGAGTGTTTGATCATCTCAAACTGTCAAATCATTGTCAGTCTTTAGATTGTTTGTACTTGTGTACTGTGGCAGTTTTGAATTCCTTTCAGGTTTTGAAATTACGGTCACAATGAACCTTTGTGAGGAAACAGGAACCTTTTTCTTTTTTTTTCATTCAGCGATACAGTAGGGGTGTGTGTTACAGCTTTATTCAGACATGACAGGACTCATAAGAAGAGCCCTGTTCACGCAGTTTGGCATTTAGTGTGAGAGAGGGAGTTACAAAGTAATGATATGATTGTGGAAGGCGTTGCTGCGTCACTCACTTTAAAACTACTTCAACTGCTGTTGAAGCCTAAAAGAATGACATCATCAGGACACTCACCAAGGGCCGTCATGGTCAATCCCTCAATAAACCTTCTCATCAATTTTGTCATTTATTAGTTTATTTTGTAATGTCTATTTTACTAGGTTTATGATCAAATGACCAAAAACTAACAACTAATTCCCATCATCCTCAGCTGTATTTTGTAATGTGTGTGAATTAGCAAGTGTTGGTATGCTGACACACGAAACCAAGATAGGGAACATGGTCAATTTACACGTGCTAAACATCAGCATGTTAGCATCTGTGCCTGAGTACAGACTCACAGAGCTGCTTGCATGGCTGTGGACTCCCACACACAGCAAGAGGAACTGAATCATTTTAGAGACTGCTCTGTCATGAGAAGAATCTCCTCCTCAAATTGATTGACTGTCTTTCAAGGTTCATTAAACAGATGTTATTTTCTTTGTACAGTGGTAAGATTTTACTACAGTACTCTTGATAAAGAGAACAAGACTAATTTCTAATCTGTATCTTTGCATCTTTACCATGTTCTGCTTCCTTTACGTTAGCATTAATGCATTCTATTCATACTCGTTCTGACCCTGTAACATCGCTATCATAACTGTTAACTAAATGTGACTTGGGCAATTCAGACATGTTGGTGAGAATAGCTCTGTATAGTCTTGGCATTAACTCCGTTTCCCTAAAGGGTTGAGGTGAACTGCATCATGCTGGAGCCTATTTATCTGCTCAGGGGTAAAATAAGTCACACTTTTCTTTGTCTGTGACTTTCTCAGATGACTCAGGCCCAGCTGGAGACTCTACAAACTGAGAACCAGCAGCTGAAGGGTCTGCTGCAGAAGTTGGAGTCTCAGTCACCTAAGGTTTGTCTGCTTTGACATAGTTGTGTAGTCATTACACAGTTTTGCAGACCGCAGCAGACAGGATTCTTGTCTTAATTTGGCCTCAGTGCTTGTTTCTAAATCTGACTCATCTCTATCTGCTTTTTACCTCCTGAATCACTTCGGCATCCTCAGAGGGGGGATTCATCGCTTGCATCCCTGAGGGAGAGTTATGTGTCATCTCTGAGCAGCCTGGAACAAGAAAATCGGCAGCTAAGGCAGGCACTCGCTATGATGCACGGCCGACCTGAGATCTCCAACTGGACCTGTCAGGACAAATATGAACAAGCTCTGCTCAGCCACGCCATGACCGACCAACCACAGCCTGCTCCGGACAGGTACCCGGCATACACACAGACACACACACATCCAACAAAAGATCAAGAAACTGAACCCTTATGCCTCTTGTTTTATCTGTAGCAGTGAAGATAACAGACATCAAAAACGCCAGGAGGATGTGCAGGCAATGAAAGCTGAGCAGCAGGAGAACGCCACTCGCTCCGAAGGGGAGATTAAGAGACTCTTCAAACAGCTACACAACCTGTCTCATTCCTCTGGGGAGCACTCCTCTAGCCAGGCCCAAGACAGCAGGTCTCATTCATCTGCATCCTCCTGCTCCTCCTCCAGTAGCACAAGACTCACCAGGAGAAACTCAGTGCCAAACCTAAGCTCAAACGAATCTCCTCCTGAGGGACAAAGCTCCAGCTCTGAAGACTCTCTGACCTTAGTGTCCAGAAAAAAAATACCCTCTGCCTCTCCAATGGTGAGTCTTGTCACACATAATAATCCAAAGTTGTGGTAAAGGTAAAGTTCCATTCCTATACAGTTGTGTGTCTTTCTTCCTCCCTCTCAGGAGTCTTTGTCAGTGTCACCCGCAGACGGCATGGTCTCTCGTTTCCTGGAGGAAGAGAGCTTACGCTCCACAGAGCTGCTCCAGAGGTTGGACATCCACATCGAGGGTATGAGGGAGAACAGCACCAAGACAGTGTCCAAGTACCTGCCAAGTGGCTCAGGGCCAGAGTCTGCCCAGACTGCAGTACAGACTGGTCAGTGATTGAGTAAGGTGGAATAAATATGACAGAAAGTGCCTTGAACAGCAGCGTCGAAGACTACGTTGTGGTACTTAAGTAGATTGTACACGGTGGAGACATTTGTGGGGCATTTGGTGTGTGCCTCAGAAATTCCAGTTACCTTTCAACTTGCTTAGTACTGTCAGGCCACAGCACTGAGCATAAGCGCAAATAAGCACTAGCCCACTCCTTCCCCACAGTGAAGGCCAAGTTACACATATGACATAGTCTTACGTAGTTGATTAGCTAGCGTGTTTTCACTAGAGGTACATTTTTGTCCTGTCATGTCAAGATGATCTTAAAGGGCAAGCGCTGACAAAGGCTGACTGATTAAACGCTTTGCATCACCTCACGCCTTTTGTTAGGAGATGCATTTGAACACACCGCAAAGACTGCAGCTGACAAGCTTTCTGTGCCTTCATAAGGCCCGTCCGGGTCAGTAGTCCAAAAAACAAGACAAACAAACTAAACAGTGTCATCATAGGCTGGATAATGTGGTGAGAATAAGTGTCTGCATTGTTAGCTTTAGGGCTGCCACTCACAGTTATTATCAGAGAACAGTTAAAATACAATTTACAGCCCAAAGTGACATCTTCAGATATATTATTTTGTCCAAGCAATAGTCTAAAAACAAAAGACATCCAGTTTGCTATCATTTAAGACAAGAGAAAGTTAACACACTGCCTTAACTGTTAGTGATGGTGGTGGTCGGCAACTGAAACTCAATAACAGCCAATGGTTCTTTTTACTTTTCTATCCAAGGTGTTTTATGCTGTGTTTTCTGGCTGGGAAAACCCTGTAAATCTGCTTAATTTGGGGTCCGGAGGTGCTTTATATTTAAGCTAACATTAACACTTTGTAAGTAGTAATAAATGCTGATTGTCTCTGCAATCATAGCTTTTATTGTCAGACCAACAGTGCTTTTAATAGATAGAAGTGGCCTTAAGAAACAGTTTCAGTCATTGTGCATTGTGCCCTGCAGCCTGTCATATTTGTGTGACCTCACATAGCTGACTTTTGGTTGCTGAATTCCACATGAGTTACTTGTTGGAGTTCCTTTGCACTTTTCCTCGTAGGACGCTGCATATTCCAATTTTTCAAGTTGCCTGGAATGCAGCATTGACACAAGCTTTATATTTACGTCCATAGAAAAGAATGTTGCTGTGAGCCAAAGACGTGTCTGTCCTCCCTGCATGTCTGTCACAGCTGGGAGAAATACCACATATGTACATGTCTGTCCTGACATTTCAGACAGTAGGGAGGGAGAGAAGGCAGCTTTTACTGCAGCTCTCCTCATTTCCCCCAGTTACTAGTCTCCCAAACCCCTCACCATCGCCACCTACCCACCCTGCAGAGGCCCTCGGGCTAGTCAAGTGCAGGAATGTGTGCACCATGCCAATGCTGTCATGAACCTTCCCCTGCGGCCTGCTTTGTCCTCATCATTAGAAAGCTGATGGAATGTTAATATCAACCATGTGGGGCACTCAACCGCAGAAACACTGAAAGGCCAGAGGGGAATAGTTCTATTTTACTGCTCTCCTAATGAAGGACGCACTGATCGAATGGAAATAAAGTGGAAGAAATTCAAGAAATATGTGTTTTTTTGTTTTTGCTATCATACTATTACAACAACAAAACAGGAGTTCTGTTCAGGAGTCCCCTGAGTCCAGTGACTTCTCACTTTGGTATTTGGTAGCCTGTGTTACTAGCACTGTAAGCCCCAACAAACAGCGCTGAGGAATTTGGCAAGGCAGGCATTCCTCTGGCTCTCTCTGGAGGAAGGTGAAAAGGTTTTTATATGTGGAGATTCTTTGAAGGGGCCTAGTAAAAGGCAGGAGGAATGAGGCTGATTCAAGTCCAGGGAGAGTTTGGACTGCTTTATTTACGTAATGATTCACAGGAAAAATTTGCTTTAGGCAACAAGGTGGTTGAGTAAATGCTTAATGGATTAATTTAATGAATTGAATTGCCCTCGTTAGGCTCGTAACCCTGTCAGGACAAGTGTTATGGGTGCAGTTATGATGCAGACAGAGGACACCTTCCCTTTAAAGGAATTATCTTGGTTATTTATTGGTTGGGAGGCATTATCACTATTTGCTTCTAATGATTACATTATGCTATTAAAGGGGATTTCCAGCAATTTAGTATTGCACTTCCAATACCTTGGCTGACTTGCAAGATACAATGTTAAAAAAGATAGGGCGCCCCATTTAACAAGGCTGGGTACTCGCTGCAGCAGCCATGGGTTTGGGTCCCCCCTCTCTCTCCTCCCCTCTTTCCTGTTGCCCTTCAGCTGTACTGTCCAATAAAGGCAAAAAGCCCAATATATATATATATGAATATTCATAAGATCCTCTCTGCCTAGTTAATGCTCATGTTTTTCACCCCCTCGTCCCTAAAAAATTTAAACCTATAAGCACAAGCCAACCGACATCATCAGAAAGCTTCCTCCGGAACCGTACTAGACATGTAAGGTTAAAGTAAAAGCTGGTATGGTTGGGCCCTGTACTGTACTAAATCTTAAAAAAACCAATTCCAATTCTTGATTTCAGCCTCACGTTGTGGCCTTCCTTAACAGATGGAGTTAGGGTCAGGGTTATTTAGTTAAGCAGTCTATTGAGCAAACTACACTGAGGAATGCAAAGTCTCTGAAGACCCAAGTAAGTAAGTGGACCTTGCGATAAGATGTTTTTGGTCAAATTGACTATTTAGGAATATTAAAGACCCTCTTAGGACACGGTCAATGACATAAGACATTAAGCTTTGAAAAATAATTTGTGTCTGATATAATCTTTCCACAAAAACATTTCTAAAATGCATCTGCTCCTACCTCACAGAAAAATACATCAAAATAATAACTAATATCTATAAATATGCAAATATTTTCTATTTCAAAAGTGTAACTGTACATACAAGCTATCTCCTTTACTGAAAAGTCCATTGTCAGTTTATGTACACTGGAGGCCTCACATTTGTGTAAATAAATAAATTACATGTTGGCTTTCAGACTAGTTGTGATGTTACAAACGCCTGCTCGTAGGTACAGGTGTTGAACTCAAAGTTAAGGTGAGCACAGAGAACCCCCCCCCCCCCAAGCAGGTAAATGTGAGGACAACCTTCTAGTGTCACACTTGCATGTAAATCATTCTACAGTCACACATCAAACTGATGTATCAAAACACATTTATGAGCAGAGGGGTGCTTTAAATGAATGCTACTGTAGTAGGAAGGTGTGTTTTACCTCAGTGAAAGACAGCCTAACTGGCCCCATTAATTGAGCAAAATGTTAAAAACTTACCACTATTAAGACCATTCCATTTACTTAACTTACTCATTCAAGCATTAGCGCTATTGCTCTACTGCAAATGAGCAGCAGAGGGGGCAATTTAAGTGCTCTGTTGTCACATTGGTCATCAGTAATGAATGTGCCAGGTCAGATAGTCCTCAATCAGCCAGTAATTCAGGGGCTTGTGTCTGATACTTTCCCTGCTCCTGTCTTAAAACAGGAATGCTCTGCTCTCCCACACTGTACTGAATGCTTTATGTCACAAACCAGACATCTTAGAGGCTACATGAAGCCTAATCAACATGCGAGTAATGTGAGTACATTTGGCAAACTTAGTGAATACTCTGTGGGGAAATTCGTTCACGTTATCAGACCATCTTGTAGGGAGATATCTGAGGAATTTGTTTGAGGAATTTTCCTTATCTCTGGGATCATAACTTGTCATGGGAATAAAGAATGAAGATAGATTGTTTGTTTAGAGGCCCGAGTTATCTCTGTAGAATGAATGCAGGTTGGCGGGGATTTCTGAAACCAGGACTGGCAGGAGATTGATGAGGGAGGGTTGGGGAGGCGTGAATATCTTTGATTCTCTGAGCGTTCATTGATTAAAACCAGTATCAAAAAGGGGTTAACTGGTGCAAAAGAAGTGTGAAAGTGAAAAGTGTCTCTTTAGTATGATTCATGTTGCTCTGACAGGTTGCTGCACCTTGGCTGACGTGATAAATGTCTTTTTATGAATTGCCGAACTTCCTTTACAAGATAAGATGACTTTTCCCAGAATTGTTGCAGCCTGCATGCATTCTTCGTTGCACATTCCATGGCGGGGCCTCAGAGAACATGCCTGTCGTGCTTCGTGTCCCACCTCTCGCTCCAGCCATGTCCCTTATTTGATGGGAATGTCTCATTGTTCTTGAGTCTGAGGACACTCTGGGAGGGTGGGGTCAAGGGAGTGGGTGCAGGTTGTGACCAGACCCATCTCGTGCAGCGGGACTCCGGACATTCACTGCAGGATACTTGGAATGCTGCTGAGACAGAGGGGCGAGTTCTTATCAGCCTGCTCCGTGCTCCATGCCAAGGAAACCGTGCCAGACAGGCAGAGAGGAAAGGACTCATTCCTCTTACACACAATGAGTACGTGCATGCACGCTGATGTCCTACTTACAGTATGTGTTTGTTTGCATACTGCAGCATGTAAACAGTGGTGTATTGACATATTTTCCTTAAGTAAAAGAAACTGACTGGACAGACTGGTGAGGAGAGCTGGCTCAGTGGTAGGCACAGAGCTGGACTCCCTGGTGACAGTGGCAGAAAGAAGGACCCTGGACAAACTGCTGTCCATACTGGAGAACGCCCACCACCCTCTGCACAACACCTTCACCAGGCAGAGGAGTGTGTTCAGTGGCTGACTGCTGTCCCAATCCATCTCCACCAACAGACTCAAAAACTCTCACCATCAGACCTTTTTTTATTTTATTTTTTTTGGCCTTTATATTTGATAGAGAGACAGCTGGAGATAGACAGGAAAGGGGGGCAGACAGAGAGGGGGTATGACATGCAGCAAAGGGCCACAGGTCGGATTCGAACCCAGGCTACTGCGTATATAGCCATTTCTATCTCTATTTGCACTGTTTACTTCCTTTTGCGCTCTATCTGCACTGTTTTTTTTGCACTGTTTACTGTGGCTACTGTGTTATAAGTTAATGTTATTTTTAATTTTATTTGAATGTAGGTTTAATGTATGTTTCGTATGCTACTGGATACTTGAATTTCCCTCAGGACAAATAAAGTATCTATCTATCTATCTATCTATCTATCTATCTATCTATCTATCTATCTATCTATCTATCTATCTATCTATCTATCTATCTATCTATCTATCTATCTATCTATCTATCTATCTATCTATCTATCTATCTATCTATCTATCTATGAAAAAAAAGGAATACCATAACTTCAAAATACAAAGACACACAAAAGACTCAATACACTTTGTGTTTCTGAAGCTTTTAACCACATCCCTCGGCCTTCCTCTGCCTATGGAGTTTGCTCAGTTGTCATGGTGATGATTTTGTTGGCAACACATGATCTAAATATAGAATCATAGATCCTAACCCCTGTCTCTCTTTGTTCACGGTTGGTCTCTGGTGCCAGATGTGAATGGCTTCCTCCATCTTTCCCCCAGGAATTTGTGGGATTTATTTTTGGGAGGTGTTTGTGATTTTCCTCTACTCTTTGTACCTGTTGGAGTGCCCCATGGCCATGCTTCACTTCCCTTTCACTATCCTCCTCTTAACACTGACAATATGTTTTACTCTGTGTAGAATACTAAAAGTATGGCTGCACTGCATTATACTGGACTGAGTGCAAAGGGTTTCTTTTCCAGCTTTCAGTGAGAAGTTAATGTCTGACAAACACATCCAGGGCCTGTTATTACTTATCATTTAACAATTTCCAACAGGAAATCCTGTTTGCTGAACACGTTATTCTTTGCTAAAGAGCATATTATTGAGCAAAATATTTGTTTTTGTCCACCGTAATCTTTCCTGGAGTCACCTATTAAATAGCTTAAACAACTGAGAGAATGAGAGAGTCAAATTGAATCCAGGACTCGAGTCAATTCAGCTCAAGTCATTTTACTTACAGAACGCATTTACAGTAACATGTGTTGACCAAAGTGCTGCACAGAGAAGATACATTTAGGAAAGTGAAGATTTGGAGTGAGGTGCCTCGCTCTGTAAGACAGCATCCTCCTGGACATCAGGGCTCAGCTTTAGGGTGGAAGGTTCAGGAGATGAATCTGAGGGCCTGGAGAAGGTTGGGAGTGGGTGCAGGAGACTTTGTCCTGGTTGACAACTTGGACCTGCAGCAACACATTGCTGCTGAAGGGGAGAGGTCTGTTGTGGCATGTTTTTGACAACCGGCATTTGAAATGTGAAAATGTACATGAAATTGAAACTGAACACTAGGATTGTTTCTGTTTCACAGGGGTTTAGAGGTGCAACTCTTTAGATGTTATGACATTTGTTTCACTTGATGGAGTTTAACAGGTTCAAACCTCCTCCGTGTCAGATTTAATTCTTTTTTAAATCAAATTTTGGTCAACGTGGTCTTATTAATTGACTGTGTTTGAATACATAGTATAAAGATGTAAAGAAACCTCATGGAATTACATGAAGACAAATATTTGTTACAGAGTAAAGTTAGAAATCTATGAATTGTGATCATAACACAGGAAACCTTCCTGTTCAATTCAGTTCACCTAAATTACACAATAAAAACTATATTTTCTTCAATTGGTCTAGCAGT